TACCATACAATACCATACAATACCAGGCATTATAACTGTACTTATTATAAATATATTCATAAATAATAATAATAATAATAATAATAATAATATTGTGTATTACTTATGTAATTTTCTTGAACACATGAAAAATTCATAGGATTTGTTTAAAAGTCAAATACACTAATGAAATAATTTATGTTTAAATGTTTGTGAGACGAGTGGATAGTGTACGTAAAAAGTTTAACTTAGAGTTTAAACAGTTATTTTTGATTTTATATTTAGCGATAAGATAATTATGAAAAAGTTTTTAGACGTGTGTTTCATACGTTTATAAAGTGTTAGACGTATGAAAATGTTTGTAAAAATACATATACAACTTTTTGTTGTTTCAAAATCTCTAAATAAATAGTGTACTGAAAGAGTGAGTTAATGACAGTTTCATGTGATTGTGTGAATCAAAAGCCCACAAATCATGTGTAGATTATAATGACTGGTATTTATAAGCATAGAGTTATTGCATAATTAAAACTTGTATTAACGGGGAGTTATAACCCACACTAAGTGCAAACTTGTGAGACGATTAAAAACAGTATTTATATTGTAAGTCGACTTTTAAAACATACAGTTTTCCTGATTATTAAGTTATTGTATTCATTGAAGTCGTCAATCATTCGCTATTAATATTAAGTATAAGTTTTAAACTAACTTTTATTTTTGAGTCAAAAAGTTTTCCACATACTTTTGAATTGTTTATATTTGAATACAGTGTTTGATTGGTCTTGAATACAAATGTCAAGATAAATATTCCTGATATTTGAATCATTGAATTGTGTGTAATAAAGTTACTTGAATAAAAACATTTGTATGAAATCCGTGTAATAAGTATTAATAATAAACGTGTTTATGATATAGCGTTGGATTTGAAGGAAAAAAGTGTTTAATAATTATTTAATAAGAAATCAATGGTTATATAAAGTGTTTTTGTTTTGAGACAACTTTCCCCACTCGCATACATGTGCAGCAAAACCCATACTCTGCAAAACAATGACATTATTCTCACTCATCTACCAGTGCACTACTACGTGCAGCACAATACCTGGCCACCATACAACCCGCAACAAACTGAGCCGGTTAATAGTGGCAATAAACTGGATAAGCAGCTATGTATATACGCGTGGATCTACATAATTGTCATTTTGATGACTATATTCATACTGAAAACACTTTTAGAGTCGCTTAACATTTATTACAAGTTTGCTAATAAATGAACCATGTATAAAATTAGAAAGTGTTTTTTAACTTTCAATTATTTTTAATTAAATTTTTTATTTTAAAAATGTTTTATACCGAAATTTCTTATTTATTTGAATTACATAAAACTTTATAATTGTATGTAATAACTGTGTTCATAGGAATTATTTGATTGCATATTAATTATAATAAGATTTTTAGAAATCAAAACCTGTTTTATAATAGTTTACAAGAATTCATGTTTTAGTGGAAATAAATGAAATACATTTGAAATATATTTTAATATTCAAGGTCTGGCAAAGGAATCTCAAAATCTATTTTTATATTGATTTTTAAAAATGTCATAATAAATAAATTTTTATATTAATAAATAAATAGATAAATAAATCTCTGACTTATGTCTGCATACTTAAGACAAGGTCTGGCAAAGGAATCTCAAAATCTATTTTTATATTGATTTTTAAAAATGTCATAATAAATAAATTTTTATATTAATAAATAAATAGATAAATAAATCTCTGACTTATGTCTGCATACTTAAGACGTAAGCCATACCTACGAATCGTTACCAGAATTGGTGCTATTAATGACTGTTTTGTTTAATTTGTGGTCTTTTCTCATGAGTTCAGTGATATCTTTACGTGAAATACAGTCTCCTTTATAACAAAACTGCATAAAAATATTAAACAATAAATGAAATCATAATTTTAAATAAAAATATTTTTGTAAATACGTTAAGTCTTACTTGGGGTCCGGTAGCGCACTGGATATAATCAGGTGAGGGTATGGCCTCCATAGGCCTCACATTACCTCTGCTTAAGATTCTACAGGTAGTCATACATAGGGAACCGTTTTGACCCAACTATCAAAATATATATTAATATAATTGCAATAAATTAATACATTTGTTTCAATTAACAATACATTGTATGCCTGTGCGATGGCCCGGGCGTCGATTGTTCGTATGGCAGACAACTCCTGGTCGTACATAAGGCCACAGTAGGTGTGCTCCATGAGCTGTGGTCGACGTCCCGGTGCCACCGACGGTGTGGGCAGACATATGGTGATGAATAAGACAAATAGCATGTATGCGATCAACATATTGAATGCGAGGATTTTATTTGATAATCAAAAACTTTTAATTGGGATTTAGTTAATAGGTTTGATAGTCGGATGTCAAATGAGTTTTGTGTTCATATGAGTGCTAAATATATAAACTATTTTATTTGATACACACTTCCTATAAATCAATACATTTTTTAAATATTATTAAATAAATGTATTAATTATTCAAATTAAGTGCCAAATGCGGGACTTTATTTAATCGCTTAAACCGTATACTTTGAATGTAAATACATTTTCCATTAATTCAAATCGTAACAAAAATAACAAAATGTGTATATTTTTAAAAAGTTTTCAAAAAAGTAAAACAAACAAGAAATTAATATCTATTTTTTTGTCAATTAATTTCTAACACCGGGGCTGAGGTTGACGTTGACGTCCCCGAAGCAAGTGGACTGACATCTGCCCGATATAGTCAAGAGGGCGTATTCGGACACTATTTGCTTGACACCCGACCGGGAATTACAGCCACCTTTTCGGGCCAGACCTACGTTTAGTATAGTTAGTCTGTCGCCCTCGCAGTACCCGCTGTCTACCCGTGCGCTCGAGTAGTAGAGTTGATTGCCTTTCAATTATAAGTTATTCAACATTAACTAAAAAATTATATAATTATAACTCGAAAATATGTTTAAATTAAGCAGTTTTATAGTAATAATGAAAATAATTTTCAAAATATCATTGCCAGAGTTAGTGACCAGGGAACAAATATACAAAATAAATCGTTCAAAGCTTAACTTAATTAGGATTTGAGTTGTATTAAAATTAATATATAAATTAAGCAATTAGCAAAAATACAGTAAAAATATATGTATAATAATTTATACTTAAAATACAATCCAAAAAATATTTTCTAAACTCATAATTTAGTATACAAGTTCCTGGTGCTAATTTGTGTCAGTTTGTAAGGTATGCCTATTTTTTGTAAACTAAACTAATTGTGAAAAATATTTTGGTTTACCCTTAAAGAAAACCAATTGAACGGACGACTCGTATGCCGTGAGGGGTGTGTTCTGTTCATTAGTGCCCCTAATCGTAGCATTCAGTCGGTTATCGCTCCGTAAGTCCAGCACTTGATTGCAGACAAAATAGTTATCAAAGTCGGCGCTCATAGTGAGCACCGACAGCACCGAGTCTTGAGTGCAGTTATATATGGCATCAATGGTCTGATGTAAGGCCACTCGAGTAGTGATGTGTTTTTGGTTAATCTGTTTGTTGTCTAAGAACTTCTTAGTGTCCGACAAGTTCTTGGAAACCACAGCCAAATGGTCTTTGAGCTGAAGGAAAGGCGACTTTTTGTCCGGTAATAGTATTACCTCAACGTCCGACCCATCGTCATGTGCCGGTGAATCCAACTGCCTGTCCGTCACTGACGGACTGTCCGATGGCTGAGCGGGAGTTTGTGACACCAACTCTGAGAGCTGGACGGCTGGTGTCGACTTGTCTAGCAATTCATTGGATACTAAAATGAGTTTTAATTATAAAACTGTTTAATGCTATTTAAATTACTTAAGACTACTGACCCGCAGGACTGGCACCTGACTCCTCGGCCGCACACAGACTAAGTGATAGTAAGACTAAAATTTTAATTACGAATAGCTTTTCAAACATTTTTGTGTAATTTGTTTGTTAACTAATACTCATTATTAACCACACATTCGTACGAAAAGAGTGTNAAAATTTTAATTACGAATAGCTTTTCAAACATTTTTGTGTAATTTGTTTGTTAACTAATACTCATTATTAACCACACATTCGTACGAAAAGAGTGTTAAAAATGTTAAATGCCAATTTAATAAAAAAATAAATTTACACAATAATTCATTAGGGTGAATTTGTGTCAGTATTTTAGGAGTTGTTATAAGCAAATGTTTTTTCTCGGTTAACATGTGTCCACTAATTAGAGTGAGAATTTGTTTTTGTGTTTAATGTATTTATGCGTTTATTGAACTAAATTACTATTTTTTAATCTTGTTACATTTTATAATTATGAATCATGTATTGTACAATAATAATACTGTATACACATGAATTTAGAATCAGTACAAACTAGTGAATTCATTTGATCTAGCAAATTTCACAATTCACACGGCTGTTAAGTACTTGTAATACAAAGTTGTATTTAATACAACTTAGAATTTTTTTGTTTAAAAGCATTTTAATAATTTTTAAATATAAATTTCGCAATTAATTTTATTTTTAATTCAAAATTATTATCAACTTTATAAATATTCCGGATGTTATATCAGGGAATTATTTACAAAATAATTTATGCATTTTCAAATTGTAACAAACATTTTAAGCAACATATTCAGGGTTATTAATTGTTTCAATGTTCATAAATAGGTTCTGGTAATCGTGACTTTAGACATCCTTTTGTGGAGACCTTACTATTGACAGAGAAATACTATTTTTGGCATTTGTTGTGTTTTAAATCCAAATGACAGTACATTATAGTTATAGTCGACTAACAAATGAATCGATGAGAAGTGAAAAGGAAATTAGTTTTCCTTTTTTCCAATTATTTTGATTCACATCTCTATTGCATACAAATATAGTTATAATTGTATTGTATTTATATTTATGAGACTAGAAATAAATATTTATATAATTGTAATCAAAAAATTAAAATACAATTTCATTACTCAATGCAAGGCTTAAAGAATTCTCTAAAAAAGTTTCGGAGGAGTCATTCAACTACAGGTAGTGGTGGACAGGTAGCTACCGGGGAAAAGGATGCCCTCATCGATAAGTCCATCAAACGGGTGGCATATTTGGAGTCATTCCCCAAAGTGCTGGAGTATAACGGCTACGAACTGCCCGGGGATGTCATAAACGCCAAGGTGTTGGACAACCTCCAGGACCTGGACGACAGGGAAAGCGACATATTTATCGTGTCGTACCCGCAGTCGGGCTCTGCGGTAGTGGAGGAACTGGTGATGAAATTGGTGGACAAAAAAGTAGAGAAAACGCCGTCCCGTAGAGCTCGTAAAGCACAGGTAGCCAAACTAGAGAGCGCCCACCCCTACGGTCACCTCCGGTGGCTGAACGGTCTGAAAGCCCCCCGCATTCTCACCACTAATTTACCCCTCAATTTAATGCCAAACCACGTGAAGACTCCTATTTGTAAAGTTTGTATTCAATTGCTTTTTGTGTCAAAAAACAGCATTTTTTTTGTTAATTATTTTTTGGTGCAATTTATAGATAATATATTTGTTACGTAACCCCAAAGACCAGTCGGTGTCCTACTATTACCAGCACCGGGTGAAAGGCATACTCTCATCGTTTGATGATTTCATATCGCTGTATATGAGTGGACAC